CACAGTGGATCTGTGTATTCCCTTCTTCTCATTCCCAAGGCCCATTTGTATACTCTGATCTGGGGTAAGTTTCATTTTTGTTTTTTTTTTAAAAAAGCATTTTCCTCCATGTAGGATGGTTGCCTTCTTTTCATGAAATTCATGCGATTTGGGTTTTTTTTTTCCAGAGATGTCTGTTTCTCAGGAAACTTCATTCATAATGTGGTGTCTTAAGAAGGGAGGGAAGCATTACTGTAGAATAATTATTATTATTATTATTATTATTGTTGTTGTTGGTGGTGGTGGTGGTGGTGGTGTTGGTGGTGTTGGTGATGGTGTTGGTGATGGTGTTTGTGTTGGTGTTATTTCGGCTTATTCGTGCAAAAGGACTGGCTATTATTATTCAGTGGGTTAAAAACTTCCAGTTTTGTTCCAAAAATATCATTCCTTCTTTAGAAACATTTGAAGAGAAAAAAATATATCAAACTCTTACCATTTATTCATCCAGGTTAAATAAGCCTAATCTGTTTTTGGTGCTTTTCCCTAACAGATTAAAATAGTTGGTTTTTAACTCATCAACGGGCCTGATCACAGCATGAATCCTGATTAAATCTGGTAATTACTGGATTATTTAGACAAAAGAATAGCCCAGAGGTAACAAATCGGCAAGAATTGACCTTGTAAACGCCCCCTTTGAGGCAGCTTGGATGGACAATATACAACCTGATAAAATAAATAAATTACAGCACCTCATAAAAATATTTTGGATTATAAAGGAGTAGATTTATGAGAAAAGAGGCAATTTTAGTAAGAAAGTGTGGTAATAAAGAAACCTATTTCCATATTTAAAACTCACGAGATGAGGTGGTTCTCACCGATTTGTAACAATTCTAATTTTTTAGACTCTTGCTTTCAAGATTAGGATGTTGTTTTTTTTCCCTTTAGCAGGTGGTTCTTACATGAAAGCTTTTTTTTAAAAAAAAATATCACCAGCACCTGTCCAGTTTTGACTTTGTGATGCGTACTAAGAGTGTAAATCCATAGTGATATCCTTATACATATCTATTTAGTAGTCCCATTGAATTAAATGAATTTATTCCCAGGTAAATAATTATAGGGTAGCACCGTAGCGGCTTCCAGGATTGAGGAGAGCTAGTGAATAATTGCAACTCTCAATAGTTGTGCTTTTAGGCTTTTGAAGGAGCAAGCCATGGCAATATTAAATATTTTTCTATATATTTTCTGCAGCTGGGGTAAAGGTACTTCTTTCTGAATATTGTTCCTATTACGTTGCCAGCTCCTTTAATTATAGACAATACAGGGAGATAACTCAATCTGTTGCCGAGTACAATCTGCAGCCAAGACATTTGATTTAATTCAGCGCTAACCTTGCCAACCAAATTTCACATGAAAAGTGATTTAAACGGTGACGCCTGACTAAATTTAATCCTGTGCAAACTGTACAAAGAGAATATGTTTGTACATCATAATTGTGTTTTTTTTCTTTGCTGCCGATGACTAATATATCTAATTAGATATATTAAACCTAATATATCTAGATTTAGCTCGGTCTTATTTCCATCATGCTCTGCAGACCAATATAAACTCAACAAGGTTTCTACTGATAAGTAGATTACTAACCACAATCTGCTGCAACACTACAAACAAAATTATAAGGATGGGACAGGGAATAAAGCATGAAATAATCAAGAGCTGACGGGCAAAACAAAGCAAATGGAAATATGTACAAAATGGCCCAGATTCCCAGAATAAGATATTTTTCTAAAATAATCCTGCAGGGAAGGCAGATCAGGATTCAGAACTTCCTCATTTGAGGAAATGCTTGGCTAGGTCTCTCTCCATACCATTTTCAAAGCAAAGTCTATTTCCCTTTTGGGTGGATTGAAAACATGTTCCACTTATAACCCCAGGGTATGTATCCCCATTGTGAAACAACTGGTGTGTTTTGTTCTCTGTTCCCTTCTCACAACTGTTTGCCAACGTAAAAAAAAAAAAACACTTAAAGGCTTCTCTTAAACATGAAAGGTCTGTAGCTGGGCAACATTACATTGGTTCTTTGTTTCTTCTGTGTGGAAATTTTTTCTTTCCCCCTTTTCCATGGCTAAGACTGGACAAGTAGAAAAGAGGGAAGGCTATATCATATTTTTGAATGTGTGAATTGGGTCTTACTCGTCACTTCAGATGCTTTGGAGTCAATTTCTTCCTCCTTTAGTGAAGAAATGGTACTACAGCTTTTATGGTAAGAGTAGGCTAGAGATGGGATCCATCCTACCATTGAAATCCAGAGATTTGCAAGTCATAAAGAGCCTAAACCAGGGGTGTCAAACCCAAGACCCAGGGGCCGGATCTGGCCCACGGGGTGATTAGATCTGGCCCCCGGACCTGCCCTGGAAACAGTGAAGGACTGGCCCATGGTGCTTTTGCCAGTGAAAATGGAGTTCAGGAGGGCTACATGCGGACCTCCTGGGCTCAATTTTTGGCCGTGGCGGCCTCTTGCAACCCTCTGCCAACAAAAATGGAGCTCAGGGAGGCCACATGCGAGCCACTCGGGCTCCATTTTCAGCTGCGACACAGCCTCCTGCAGCTCTCTGCCAGCGAAAATGGAAACCAGGAGGGCCACGCACCACCTCTCTGAGTTCCATTTTTTCTGGCAAAGGTCTGCGGGGAGCATCGCGAGAAAAGATGGAGCCTTGATGAGTGACGTCAAGCTGGCCACGCCCACCTTGATTATGCCCCTGGCCGCACACACATACACACTGCCACCCACCCACCCACCCCGAGATCAAACACCTTGACCGACCCAGTAACAAAACTAGAATAAGTATTTTCCTTTCTACTGTCATGTTGGTGGTAGGATTTCTTTCCTTCTCTTATTAAAACAATTTATACTGAGCTTTTTATCGGTTGAAGAGGAGGAGGTGTTATGAGATGCCAGGTTTAGCATATGGAAACATTCTGCAAGATACATTTAGATTGTCTATAGTTTTGTAAACTGCCAGAAGGTTATCAGATGGAAAAACTGTTTTATAAAGACACAAAGAAATAATGAATAGGTCTGTTGGGCCTATATTTTCCGAAAAGCTTTATTGCGCTTTTCTTTTCTTTTTTTAAAAAAAAGATTTTTATATAGCAAGGATCATCCTTTCCCAGAAATTATCATCCTTTTCCAAAAACTATGAATGAATAATTTTTGGAGAACGATTTCCGAATGAATCTTGGTTTGTGAATGAAACTTCGCTCCTCAAGAGTACGAGTCTTAATTTTGTTAATTTTATTTAATGAACCCCTGTTTTTTCTCCCTTGCAATAATAATAGTTTTCCTCCTGAGCAAACAACACATTCTAATCTCCCATCCCATTCTCATAAAAAACTCTACATCTCTACACTTTTTATCTGGATCTTTTTTTTTTCTCCTGGGAGATAACACACTTGTCTTGGGAAATAATGATTAGCCCAAAAAATCCAGAATTGGCTGGTGTGGAGGTGGAAGAATGGAAGGAAATCATTTATTAATGAGGGATCA